TCTGCCCCTGCTGAAGATCTGAACCTGCCATCTATTGCTGTCTGTGAGCCAGTGCCAGGGAATTATTCAGATCACAAAGACACTGGGACAAGCCAAGGCAGAGATAGCATCCTAGCAGTTTGCTCCTACAGCAGTAAAAAGAAGATGGGTATATTTGCAGTAAATCAGCCTTGTAAGTGGCATTGAGGGAAGCAAAGCCAACACACACATGCAACTAGAAGTTACTGGCAACTCTTCACCCAGCCTACATCCGTGGCCTCTGCCTGCTAGTGGGTTATAATTGTGGTCCCAGTACAACATGTTGCCACTTTGCGGGGACGTCGAGGTTTGTGCAACAGGATCCCAACCTGTTCCTATGCACTTTGTCAACGCACGAACAGTCAGTGAAGGCAGTTCTGTTATGGACTTCAGGGGCAGGCAGGCATCTGGGATAAACTCGAAGTTAAAAGATAAAACAATAGGTATTCAAAGCTGACGAGATTCAAGAGCAGACTTCGCCAAGATAACCAGACAAGATATCCAGATGTGGCTGAGCCAGTCTATCTGCTGCTTCACTGCAGTCCAGAGTGTGCCACTGCCCCTGGGCAGACCCGCATCATCCAGAAGCAGCTCTGGCCTGGGCAGCAGGTCTCATGCAAAGCCAGAGTCCTTGCAGACAGGCTGTTTTGTTTGCAAACAGTGCGATCAGCCACTGCTTCTCTCTTGCACAGCAATAGCTACAGCAATAGCTAAGATATGCTGTGCCCCCACAGCAAGGTGAGCCCGTAGGACTACACAATGGTAATGGGATGCAGAGCAGTAAGCAGCTTCTGGAAAATACTGTAGCCCAGTACCACCCCCCTCCAGAGTCCACCAGTGTTTCCATTAAAAGGCCTTCTCTAAATACGCACAAGGAGAGTAAGGAATAGGATTGTATAGGAACAGGATAGTAAGCATAGGATTGGCATGCCTAATGGAAGACAGTGTCAGAAGTTGCCCAGCATTGCCCCAGGTTTTCACCACCATACGGGAACGCCACCTGGGTACAGTTGTACTAATTCAGCTGATAAAACTCTGAAGTGGAAACGAACGTAGGGACCTGTAAGAGGGCAGTAAATACACACGTATACACACACACACACACTTAAGGTTAAGGTTAATTTCACTAATAATCACAGAATCACATAAACACTAGGTTGGAAAGGACCTTCAAGATCATCAAGTCCAACCATTAATCCAGCGCCACCATGTCCCCTAAACCATGTCCTGAAGTGCCACATCCACACGTTTCTTGAACACTTCCAGAGATGGCGACTCCACCACCTCCCTGGGCAGCCTGTTCCAATGCCTGACCACCCTCTCGGTGAAGAAATTTTTCCTAATATCCAATCTAAACCTCCCCTGGCGCAACTTGAGGCCATTTCCTCTTGTCCTATCACTAGTTACTTGGGAGAAGAGGCCAACACCCTCGTCACCACAACCCCCTTTCAGGTAGTTGTAGAGAGCGATAAGGTCTCCTCTCAGCCTCCTCTTCTCCAGACTAAACAACCCCAGTTCCCTCATGCGCTCCTCATAAGACTTGTGCTCCAGACCCCTCACCAGCTTCGTTGCCCTTCTCTGGACACGCTCCAGCACCTCAGATTCCTCCTATCCACAGGAGAGCTCCCATGGTCAGGGTTATCTAGCACAGACCAAGCCTTAGCCAGCTTTTGAAAAATCACAGACATTACCTGGTATCATCTTTATAGCAGTGTTCACTTCACTCCATTCATGAACCTTGTCAAACTTCCAGTCCAGGATGAAGTTCCCGTTGTCCGTCACCACAGGGCCCTGGGAATCAAACACGTTTGTCAGCACTGTGAGCTCCTTGACTACCAAGCACAGCCAGGGACTGTCACAGCCATCCCCGCTGCAACGGTTTAGAGTGATCATTCAAGTAAATCCCGACAGTCCATATTAAGCCTGTAAGTAAAACCATCGCCCAAGGCAACTGCTCATTCCTCATTCTCTGTGTACTGATAAACATGCAGAAACAACAATGCAATTTCATCAATGCAACAGGGGATCCTTTTCACAAGAGTAAAGCTGCATTAATGTCCTAAAAAGACTATTACAGGCAATTGAAGCTGAAATAATACCCCTCCACCCCAGTGATAAGAGTGTGCTGCTGGATGTCATGGGGGGTTTTGGAGTTGAATTGCTGGCCTTCAGCATCCCAGACATGCCCAGCAACTCTCAAGCCCAACAGAAGGGGCAATTGGGTCCTTTCAACACAGCAGAGACAGCTGGGGCTGAGGACAAGGTGTTTCATCAGCACTGAGCAGGTCGTGCAACCACACACAGGAGGAGGGACCAGCATCCTCCGAGGACATGGCTCATGCTGGAGCAGCACCGATGTGCATTCCCTGAGCAAGGCTGGCCTCAACTTCACAGAGAACAACTGGTTTGCTCTTCTCAGGCACCCAAATACAGTCCCCTACAGCCTCTTGGGATTAGACACATTAAAAAGAAGTATTCAGCCTTCAGGCATTAACTCCAGCCATTACTGCAGACAGCCCTCCTTTTCTCTTGCCATGCGACGTGGGCTGGTGAAGACCCACTGCCCAAGTCAGGACACGACAGTGGCAGTGGAAACAACACATCTTCAGTTTTAGTTTGGTCCAGCTCTGGCTCCGTGTGGTATGGAGGAGCCTGGGATGGAGCATGAGCTACCCACCCAACTAGAGACCCTCTTTAGCAACACAGAGTGCCCTCCAGCCCCCAAACATCCCCACAGAGCAGCAGGTCAGACCCATACTGGCAATTCCTCCCCTCCCTGCTCAGCAATGCTTGCCTTCGGAGACATAAGCCAGAGAGGCTTTACACAAGCAGCACCGACTCCTAAACACACAGTGCATTAACCAAAGTATAATTAAGGGGAATTACACAAGTGGCCACTTGCGGGAGCAAAAGTCCACATTTAATTAGGTGAAAGGACAGACCTCAGGTCCTCTGTTTGCCCACATTCAAGTGGCTCCTCTGGGAATACGGGGCTGATCAGGGACACATACCGCTTTGCTAACAGCCATCCGCAGCTCCGCAGCACCTCCGAAGTTTTTGGTCAGGGCTCTGGTGACGGGGACGTAAGCCATGGGGATGACTTCGATAGGAATTCCCTTCTTCCATTGCTCCCCAAGGCTCTTTGATTTTTTCCTGAGGACACAGTTTGAGGTGGGATTAGCGTCAGACACTGCATTGCTAACACCAGTAATATAACGCACTTATCACATTACCTCTTGCAAACCCCTCAGGCATAAGGCCCTGGAGGGCAGAGCGGTCAGTTCACATGGGCACACATATAGGAAGAATCAGTTTAATGCATGATGCTGCATTCACTCATAAGCCCTGTTTTGACATGTTTTGGACAAGCAGGACACAAGCTGTTTTCTCCATAGCCCTGCGGCTGTATGGACAGAAGGGGAAGTTTATTCCATGCTGACAATCGCTGAGCTCAAAAAGCAGAGCAGCCGTTTCCCCACAAGCTCTGCTAAGTCCTCAAGAGGCCTGCTGAGTCAAAAATTTAAAAAAGCGCCAAATTGAATTGATGCAGCACTGCGAGTCAGGCTCATTTCCACCTATTCCTGCTCCCCGACCCGCTGGAAGGACAGTAATGGTCTAACACAGGACCATCCAAATACTCCCATGGGACAGAGAGGTATAATGAATAGTAATACTTTTACCTGTAATCAGCAATAACGATGAAGCACTTTGCATATCCTGCAACTATTTTCTCCTGTGTCAAGCAACCACTGCAAGGGAGGAGGGGAAAAAAAAAAAGTACAGAAGTCAGAAAACAGACTGCTCCTCAGTGTGCCTGATGGTCCGAAAGTCCAATCCCCTCCATCATGTTCTTGCTGGTTTTGGTGCTGCCGTTGTCCCATATCAGGGCTCTTTTCCCTGCCCCATCAGTTTATCTTCCTTGTCCCTTGCACACGCTCTTGGTCAGGAGCTATGTCCCACTGCAGCTGCATGCATGGCCCTGCACAGGATCCCATCAGCCTCTCCAGGCCACCCCCGGAGACATCTGCAGCCAGAAAAGGATGCTCAGAGGCCACTGCCACCACGCTGCACACAGACAGACAGCAAGGCTCACCCGCCACCTTTGATAAGGTTGAGGTCAGAGTCCACTTCATCCGCTCCATCAATGGCGACGTCGAGCTGTAAGAAGAGGAGAAACTTGGTGTGGAAACTTCTCCCATGCAGCATCCAGGCACTGTGCTCGGCACAGTTCAGGAGGGTGTCAGGTCCCAAGCAGCAGCCAGAAATGTTATTAGAGCTGGGACCACCTTGATGCCAGCCTGACCAGAGACAAGCATCTGATCATCCACCCAAGGACACCAGCCCCAGCTAAACCACAGGCACATGAGGAAAAACACAAAAACAACTGCTGGCCTCCAAGGCACATCATTTCAGCCTCTAGCATTGCCAGCTAAGGGGCAGGGGGCTCCTGGGGAAAAATCTTGGTCACAACATTTCAACACCACCATATCCCCGTCTCAGGCCAACAAGCCTCATCCTGGAAGAAGTGCCAAACACCTGGAGGAAACACAACTCAGCAGCCTACTTGCCATCTACAGGAACAAGCATGAAGACAAGACTAAGGTGGGGGTGTGTGGGAATAAACAAGGCTAGTTCTAGCTCATGTTCAGCAGAGTGGCTGCCTAAATTTTCAGTCTCAGGGGAGGACAAAGGAGCCTGATACTTTATGAAGGACCAGGCAGAGAAAGGTCAGGTGAGATCTCACCTCCGTGGTCCCACTCACCTCTGGGTGTCGGTCCAAGTCACTTAACGTTAAGCCGTTCTGCAGGATGAGCTGACGGGCCTGTGCATCAAGAAGAGAGCAAAACCATTTACCAGCGGCAGGAAAGGAAGACAAACTGGCGGCATCATTCCCCCGGCTGCAGCAAGGACGGAGTCTCCCTGCAAGAGCTCCAGCCTGAGCTGGCAGACAGGCTGCAGCCAGCAGCAGGAACGCATGGCAAGGAGAAAATCATTCTTCTAGATCAGATTTTTTTTTTTTTTTAATCAAAAGAAAACCCTGTTGCTGATCTGAACTCAAATGCTCAGATGGTGCAACAGGACTCCTGGGTTCAGGTATCTCTGTATTAAAAAGCAGAAGGCCCCATCAGGTTGGTGGAAATCACTTGTATCTAAGCATCAGAGCAGTTGTGGGATTTTTGAGCCCTGTGTTGTTTCAGTTTGGACATCATTCTCCTTCACACCCATCCAGCTACCCTGGTTTCCTTCAGCTGACAAATGGGAGCAAGAAAATTAAATGTTTACACCATCACAATACAGGACTAACACTGAAAATATTTTTCATATTGGAAAGAAACAAAATAAAAGCAAAAAAGAAAAGCACAACTCATGGAAAAAGAGCGGCAAGCCTCCCAAAACAGCTGTTCAATAAAAGTAGATCAGAGCCACCGAAGTAGCTGTGTATATCCCTCTAGTGGCAATACAACACAGAGCACCTGGAGTTACCCTCCGCTTGGTCAGTCAGTTTAAATGGAAGTTCAGGCTTAGAGAACCTTGAATTGGTGGAATTTTCTGTGGTAGAAACCATCACCTCAGTGAGACTCCCTCCTTGCATGGACTCCGCTCAGACCTGAACTTCTTACCACGCTGTAGCTAGTCCATGAAACCCCAGCACGATGGCCTGGATCAACTTATTCCCCTGAATTTTATCCACTAACACTAACAAAGTGCATCATATACATACAAGTGCATGTATGGGCATCCCAGAGACCTTAAGAAGAACTACTAGGTGGTACTCCTGGCAACGAGATATTATTTGAATCATTTATCATGGTGTTTCATAGCATGCAGTTTTAACATCCATGGGCTGTAGGCTCTTGATCTGTGCACTAGGATTGCCCTAAAGGCTCACTAAATTAAAAGAATAAAAATCAGTGGGGATCTGGGAATTGAAAGCATTGAAAAAACACAGTGCTGCACATGCAGGCCAGATCCTGAACAGGCTTAGAGTCAGCAGTGTGGAAACAAGGTAGCTCTCTCCAGGCTCTCTGCTTGCAAGGTGAATCAAAAGCAGAGCTCCCACAACTGGGAGGAAAGCATTGGTAACTGTGCAGCACCTGCCAAGAATGGTCTCACTCTGTGCTCTCTGCACACGTCCAGGTGAAAAGAAACAATGCAAAAGCCAAGGGACAGATACTTACCCTGGCTCTAGCTTTACTGATGGTGATGGAATAACCCAACCTGACAACAGGGAAGGGAGGAGAATAAAAGCCCACTGAAACCAATTCTTCCTTGCCAGTGACCTCAGGCAGCCATTTACACCTGTACGTAGCAAAAATGAGATGCTGTTTTGCTGACCTGGGAATCTTCAATCGGAATTGGTTGAGGTCTAAGAGACTGTAAAAGATACGAGGCAGTCCCATGTCTAGGGGATTTTGGCTTGTGCAGGTATACAGTCTACCTCTTTCCTTTAACAGCAACCTTTTTGTTTTACTGGTAAGAAACTCTGTAGTGTTACATGAACTATCTCAACATTTCAAGGCAGGACAGGCTCCAGCCCACACTCACTACGACAGCTTTATCAATATTTTCTGTTAAGACCTAATGACTGAACTCAGAGTACCTTTCCTATGCTCAAATGGGACATGGTATCTCAGGATGGCGATCACTTCAGACAGATCAAAGACACTCACCACAGTCCATATATGCACCAGAAGTACTGATATAGGTTAAAAAAGAAAAAAATCTAGTTTTTACTTTTTGCCCTTTTCAGCAGTTTGTATTATACACCAGTTGGCCACTGTTTTTTTGCAACGGCTGGGAAGAGAGAGTCTCACATCGCCCTACACTCACACTTAAAGAGCATCTGCAGGGTAAGAGGATGTTAGGTTTTGATGATTTTAGGATAATTCAGGTTGGTCTCTATCCAACCTCCAGGTCAAAGCAGGGTCAGCCACCAGGTTGCTCAGGGCTTTACCCACTCAGGTCTTGAAAACCTTCAAGGACAGACTCTGCACAGCCTGCCTCACTGCTGGATTGTCCTCACAGTGAAAGTGTTGTGACAAGAGTACAATCCCGAGGTCCACACCAGGACCATGAGAAGGACACACGCTCAATTCCTAGAGCAGGGCATTGCCACCCAGACTCAAAAACTCTGCAGGTACTCCCCGTCATGTCACCTCTCCCTACCTAAAGGGGACAAGGTGATAGCTGCTCCTCTGCAGCGCATTCCAACCTCAGGGAATAGTGGCAAAGAGACCAAACCAGTTGCCTGAAGGCATGGAAGCAGCTCAGAAGCTTTCCCAGCAGTTCTGCATTTCACTACCAAGCCACATTCTCCCTTTCCCTGCAAACCTCTCAACAGCTAGCTTGGTATGAACCAATCCCTGCAAAAGCTGCGCAGCAAAGGAAAGATTAAGCTGATTTCTCTTCTGCAATTTCTTAGAAAAATCCAGTTGATGCATTTCAAGTTCCTCCTGAAAACACATGAGCTTGCTATTATTGCTTGCAGAGTGATTTTTACAGCTTTCAGGGCTTGATACAGAATCAAAGGAGACTAAGTGTCTCCAACAAGTTTTGCATTATGAGTCTGGTTCACCACTAAACACCATTTTTCTGCAAGCAGGATCCAGAGCAAGCCACACATCAACACTGACATAAGCAGCGTTACCGCACTGGTTCAAAACACACCTCCTAGCACCACGGCATCCCTGCAGCTCAGGTCAGGGTAACACGGCTTCATGAGGTCCACCTGCAGGTGGCATCACGACTGCTTTCACCGGCGATTCCCATGAACTCAACCACAGTGAGCCCATCCAGACAGCGGTGTGGTTACCTCCGCAGCCAAAGGGACAATCCCCTGCTGAGTTTTTGGGGTAGCAGAAAGCAAAGGAGGAAAGCACTTACCTGAAAAGATGTAGGGATGCAGACAATAGTCAGGTTCTCCTGTTTAACTCGCTCAGCTGTAGGAAAAAGAAACAGAAGCCTCAGTTTGTTTGTTGCAGAAAGAAAAAACACCAGCTTTCACTTTAAGAAATCTCAGTTCATAGCAGCCCCTTTGATTCACTGCGATTACTTGTTTGGCTTACAAATAACTCTGTCATGCTCAAGAAACAAACAGGTGCCACCCTGCACAGGCCAAGGCTCAATTTCTACAGTCATAAACATTTAAACACCCACCCTGGCTCAGCCCAAGACACCACAAGCCATTAACCTTTGTGTCTCCAGCAGCAGAGGAGCCTCATCAGCAAATCGTCACCTGGGAAATCAGCCCCACTCCCCTCTCTCACACCATCAGACAGATTTTTGCTGCACTCCTTGTAAACAGAGAGCTCCAGCAGCTGTCTGAAAGGTTTTCTGGCTTGTTGCCTTGGGGACAACATATTCATTTATTGTAGAACATTTAAGTATATGGCAGGGAAAGGATTAATAAAATACGGTATTCCATTAAATGGAAGGAAGGAAGGATTTCCTCCCTCAGGTTAACCTCAGATGACTAAAATCTATTACTAAGATATCATTATGGACAAAATGTTATTTTAGTAATTACAATGCTTAGGCATGAGCCAACAGCCCAAGAGTCAGCAACAGCTCTCACACTACAGCAAGCACACAGGCTACACGCTTCAAGGTAACGGGGCTGCTGATGGATTGAAGATGCAATACATCAGGTTGTATGTTGTTACAACCCACACCCCAGTGCTAACGCACTCAGTAGACACGAAAAGTCAGACTTTGCAGCCTGGAACAGGCACTCTACTTCAAATATGATACCCATTTATTCAGAGACTGGTTCTGTGTTAGAGTCAGGAGAGGCTGCAATACTGAGCCAAACCCAGAAAGCTGAACCGCAGCTCCCAAACCAGCTCCCAGACAAATGTGTGTTGCGCACACAGCGTGGGGTGAGGTGGGTGCCAAGGGGCAGGCACAGTGTGATCTCTGCTGTTTCCCTATGAAGCGAAGCACCGCACTGCGCTCAGACCTCAGCCCCGCTCGCCCGTGGTGGGCTGGGGACAGCTCTGCCCAAAGGAGCTGGAGGTCACAAGGGGACTTCCCAGCCACGCACAGCCAGTCAGGTGGGACACACTGAACTCTGCTTCCAAATGAGAGTTCCCCTCTGTGTCTGAGCAAGATCCCCAAGAACAAACAGGGCTGACACTGCACTCACAAGCCATCACACACAGCTGCTCTGCTTTGCATCCAAGGACAGCAGAGCAGGACGAGGTACAGCACCTCCACAAGCAGATCTGCCCTAGGGCTGAGCGCCCTGCAAAGGAAACTTTAAACCTCCTCTGTAATGAAGCGTGAGGATAAATTACCCCCACGCTCACTTTGCAAAAATGCACTTGCCTCACTTGAATATTTTGCTGATATTTTCTGAATCACACCTTGAGCAAACTTGTACCTGGGGCAAGCAGATAAACCTAGCTGTAGGGTGTAAAAAAAAAAAAATGCAGCAGGATTTCACATTGCTCATTTTCATTACACCTCAGCAGGACCCTTGATGTGAATAACGTGGAAGCGAGCAAGCAGCGTCAGCTGCATACAAATGGGTTAACTTAACGGAAGCAGAACAGCTGCATGGCCCAAAGCCACAAAGCAAGTTAGGACAGAGCAGAGCTGGAACAAAACAGAGGGGTTTAGCTCCAGTTTGTGGTGGGTGCCAGTAAAGTGCTCTGCCTGGCTGTATGGGGAAAACAGGTGGCAAATCATTACCTCCTCAGGACACTCTATGCAATAAATTCAGAGCACAAGACCCAGTTTTAACCTACAGCTTCAAGGAGGACACAGCAGTTGGTGAACAGACCTATCGCACCAACTCTAAGTCAGCATCCAGAGATTTAGCATGTTTTTCAAGTAGTTGGGGCAGCCAGACAAGGGGACTCTCTGCAACAGGAGGGACATGAAGGGGAGCATCCTACCTAATCGATGCACCGCGTGGACAATCGTAGAACCGCTTCCGATCCCAAGAACTTGATTATTCTGCAAATCAAAGAGAGACACGGGAGAGCTGTTACTGGGGGTCAGCACAAGGGCTGTCTGCTTCTCCCAGTAGACTCGACATTATAAACACATGCAAGAGGAACCTTGCCCAGAAATGCATGCTGACACACAACGTCTTAGCACACTGCAGGCAAGGAAGGGAACACACTGAGCCAGCAACGGCACGACCGCTGTCTGGAGCTAAAGGATTTTAAGCCACTCACCCCCTCATTAAAGGGCACAGGCTTGCTAAATACCACCTCGGTCTGACTCTGAGGGTGTTCAATGCACACTTACTGCTGGCATTCCGTGCATCCTCTCCTGCCGGAAAGCTGGGAGTTTCAGACAATACCACAGAGGCAGAAGCTGAAACAATCTCAAGATAACATCTCCCAAGGAAGCCACACAGTAAAAGCATGGGTTTGCTGCCAATGGTATTGTTAGTAAGCAGTACGGATACACCAGCGGCCAAAGCAAAGAGCACAGCAGCAGTTTCTAGAGTATAATAAAAACCACCCTCCAAAACAGAGGATACAACTGCCTATATAAGAGTCCAGCAACATGCTTGAAAGATGGGTGAGCCTGGCAGCGTATGCTGAAGAGGATCATGTTTTAACCACAGCTTAGCCCTGAACTTTCTCTGCTTATGGTCTGGTTTAAGAAGGATCGCTACCGTCTCATCCATAACACAGACAAGCTTCTAAACACGCTGCATGCTGAGGTTGGACAGGTGCAACCGTGTTACCTCCTCAAGAGGATGCTCTGTGATGCAAGCCTCTGTTTATTATCAGCTCAGTCTCCCACCCACTGAGAACTACCTGTAGCCTCTTGCACACTTCCAATTTTCAATCTACTTCCCTTCCTTTGGATGGGATCCAAACCTTAAATTCACTTAAGGAGGCCCAATATCACTACCGAGACTTCATATGAGAAAGATTTCAAACCAGCCAGAGATGCAGGCATAGCGCTGTTGTGTGTTATCTCTTGGACATTAGTCAGGTCTAGAGCTCTTTCTCCATAGGCAGCAAATCCAGAGTTCAGCGGCTGTGGAAAAAGCCACACCTGCAGCATTTCAACCAGATAAAATCTTACTGGCATGCAAGCTCACCTGGAAAGGTAGAGCTCAGGGCAGGTCACAGTCCCCTAGGATTACTGATTTCCCTTGTTTCTGCAGGTTAAAAGCTTAAAAACCCCACGAGTTCTCCAAAACCCAGGACACACGGCTTATATCCCAGCCCTCACTAACCACCGTGACTCTGCAAAAGATGGAGAAAGCAACAGATCGCAGCTGTACGCCTGCAACATTGCCGGCAGAAACCCAGTAGCTCCCCAGGTTTCTCCGTTTCACCGGCCCAGCAGGCAGAGCCAAGCGTGGCCAGCCGAGGAAGGGGCAAGCAAAGCTGCACAGAGGCTGGCAGGACACAGGCAGTACCAGTGTTCCCAAGAGACTTGTTTTGACTTGGGAAGAGGCAGTTTCTTCTCTTTGCCCTCATTTCTACAGGGTGGGACAGCTTCTTGGAGCAGCTTGATGCCCTAAAGGGATGGTAAAAGCCTCAGCATCAGCCATTCCATTGTAATGAAGTGGGAAGAGGGTCCCAGCCCATCGCTGGCAATAAACTTTGAAGGCATTTATCAGTGATGAGAGGTGAGGCACCCTCCCTTAGGTAGTGCAAGACTTTGGGCTGAGTGAGTTTCCCAGAAAAAACAGTTTAAGCCAGTCTGAACTGGAGCTGTCACAACCTCTCCCTCACCACAGCTCCCACCTCTCCCTCCGCAGCTCCAACCCCAGACAGAACAAGGGAAAAATCAGCCAAAAAAAAAAGTCTACTTTTAAAAACAGGGACAGAGCAAGTGTTGGCAAGAAGCAGAGCACAAGGTCAATGTAGCAAGGGGCAGGTCCAGCTCACAGCACTGAAGAGCAGTACTCCATGCAAAAAAAAAAAAAAAACAACCCCACAACATTCCAGGTTGTTTACCAAAACGCCAGCAAATAAAACCAAGGCACTGAGACACAGGACAGCTGAGGACCCACATATGGACTCCACAAGCACAGACAGCAGCAACCAGACCATTGTCCCTGATAACCCAGGGACCGAGGGATGCTGCTCAACGTTGGAGATGCCAACAAGGCAATGCACATCGAGTGGCTGTCAGCAGCACCACACAGGTTGGCTGGTCCAACATAAATTTCCAAGACTAGGATTTACGGGGGCAAAGAGCAGGAGATAAATACCGTGAAAAGCCCAAAGTTTCCTCTTATTAATCCTCAGCCCTCTGGGGCAGCAGGACCTACAGCTCTGGCCCATCTTCTCATTTCTAATGGAGGCGCTAACAGGGCCTGCCTTCGGAGGTGTTGTATAAACGCAAAGCCAGCTCTCCCCAAGCAGCTTACAGCTCTAAAGCCCCAAGCCCTGTGCCAGCCCTGCTCCTCCGAGCCGTGACGGCACCACAGCCCGAGGTTGGTCATCTCAGCGTACCGGGGAAGCTCTGCTCCTGCAGCTGCCTGGGGACAAGTGCTATGAGTAAACATATCAACCTGCCTTTAATTCAAAAAAATAAAGAGAAAAAAAAAGTTCTCCTCTCCTAATGCCTCCACCCAGCCCCAGGTCTTGTATCTGCTGCAGGCAGCATAAGGAGCTGCTGTGCTGGTGCTGTTAAGGGATGGGTGCGAAGGAGGATGCCAAGTACCGGTATCAAGCCAACAGCACCACAGATTTACGCCACAGTTAAGCAGGAGAGATTTGTCCAGCACAACTGAACCCCGAAGTCAGTGGCATCTCCCACACATCCCTGTCATGCAAGGAAGGCAGTCTGCAGCTCTGCTTTTGGAGATTATGTTGGTCCCTCTGTTAACAGCGATAGCTCCAACAGCCAAACACAAAACTATCCGTTACAAACGGCAGCTGCGTCCTCCCAGCGCAAACTGAAGGGGAGACAGGTTTTCTCTGATATCTGAGACCATCCAAGTCCTTGGCAGTGACTCCAACTTGCTTCTCCACCATTGCTTCAAACTAGCTTGCATGGCAAGCACTGCAGTATTAATTAAAATAGGCAGCATCCGAGGTAATCAGCCTCGCTAGCCAGGCCCTGAACTTTAATCAGCTGGGACATGGCCAGAAACATCATCCTAAGTTTGCTTGACCATAAAACAGCACAAAGTCCAGCTATTTCACTAGGAAAAGTCCAAAATTAAGAGTCACGTTTTATCCTAAATCAATGGCGCACCCAGCTCGTGACAACCCGCAGCAGAGGTCGTGCCTCGGCTGCACACCTTGCGACATGAGTCCTTCCTCCTGCAACCTGTCAACGCGCAACTTTGGGGCTTGCTTCAGGTAAAAAAAAAAAAAAGGGGGGTGTTATGCAACTGCCAGGCCATCCCTAAGGCTCCCACACCCCACATCTGCTTTGGAGCATGCTGGCATGGCAGGGGGTAGGTCTTAGCATGTGGCTGTGCTCCTGCGGGCAGGTACAGACTGCTCAGAGGAAGGAGAGGCTGCAAAACAAGTGAAACATTTACGGGACACCAGGGAAGCCACCGGCAACCAAACCCCAAGATGCCAACCCAGTGGAGGGGAATGGGAAAGAAAAGGGAATTTTCTTCCCCCTGTCCCCCCGAGTACTAACATCTACCTCCTTGGCAGCGGCTCTATGCCCGTTTCATCACTGCTGTTGCAAAAGGACTTGCACAGAGAACATTGCGATAAACCACTGCGTCGCTTCAACCGTTGATCTTCCGCGTGTTCACAACCAGCCGGTG